AATGTTGGAGATTGGTCATCACAAAACTTTGTTGATTTGGGCAGCACATTAAAAGAATTTCTTTCTCTAATAAGATTCCAGGATATTTCTAGAGATGATTTTTTTGATAAAATTGAACCATATAATATGCTTTTTCCTAGGACTTTATGGAAACCTCTTTTACAATCTTATGTAGTTCCTCATAGACAACAAACATTGAGTTTACTACCATCAAGAATTTCAAAATTGAATTTAACATTTGAATCATTGATAATCAATCAAAACCTTACTTTGCTTTTTGCAAGTTGGATTGATAGAAAAAATCCACCACATACTTCATTAAGGGATGTCAAATATGAGTTTAAACTTTTATATCAAAGTAGTAGAGATGGTTTAAGACCACATATATTTCATCAGAAATGTGATAACATCAACAAAACTCTTGTAGTTGGTAAAATACAAAATTCAGAGCAAATAGTTGGTGGTTATAATCCACTTGATTGGAATGGAGTGGATGTATATAAAAATACTACAGAAAGTTTTATATTTAACATAAGTAATAGAAATGATATTAATACTGCTCAATTTAGTTATGTTATTAATAATGATTATGCAATTTGGTGTTGTCCTTCTGATTTACCTCTTTTTGGATATGATGGTTGGGATGTTTGTGATATTTGGTTTAAATCAGATAGTAGTATTTATACTAATACATATACTTATAATAACATCAATTTAGTAGATGGTAGTAGATTTGATGAATTGGAAGTTTTTCAAATAATTGATAAAAAATAAAAATATAAAATACAATGTTAGATTATTGCATTTTCTTTATATATTTTTCATATGTTATCATTAGTTATAATTAACTAATAAAAATCTTTCATTAGACATTCAACTAACTTAATGACAGTGAATGAACTTCTGATCTTCTCTTGAAAAAAATAGATTGGAAGACAACTTCGTTCCATATTAACATTCAAATAAAATAAAACCTCTGTAAAATCATAAAATCGTAATAAGCTTTTAAAAAATAAACGTTATTTATTGTTCTGTTTGAAACAGAGCACTTTGGTAAAAAGGGAACAGTTGTGGAGCTTTGGTAAAAGGCCACGTTTTATTTAATAAGCGAAGGTTAGGACTAACGTTATGTAATTAGTAACAACGATCGGTAAACGTTATTTGCTTTCATGAATAAGCAAAGGTTAGGACTGAAGTTTGGTAACTAGTGAGTATTAACGACAATCATTAAACATTATTTGCTTTAGTGAAGTTTGTCTAAAGGTTAATCGGAAGTACTGTTAGTGTTATTGCGAATGTAAAGTTGTTTAAGTTATTTTGTAAATAAACCAAATTAGCTAAATAAGTATAAATTAATCAGCCACAAGTGAATAAAAGAAACTTTATTAAAGCCTTCGAGCTTTGTAAATGGGTAATCTTCGTTTATTTACAGTTATCCTATATATATCATTGAGTATGTTTACAGGTTTGTCGAAGCTTTTTAGGTGCAAGAATGAGGTAGTAAGCAAGAACCAAAGTAAATTCGTAAAACCAATTAGTTGAGAAGCGCCAAATTATTGTGTAATAACTGACTAGAGTCGGCCGTATGTGTTAAATAGCTAAATGTATCTTTATCATTTGATCCATATTCAGCTTTAGTCCAGCTTATTAATAAATAATAATAAATAATATATTTATAAAAGGTGTTATATTTTTACAACCAGTTGATATGCCACATTTTAATTTCACGTTTATGTCCTGATGGATATGTTTTTGATAAATTAACTGATTTTTTTAAAAATGTTTACTGTAAAGTAACTCCATTAATTCAATGTCCAGAAGGAACATAAGCAGTGCTATTATTATTAGATAATGTTTCCTGCATTTAAATTTTCAAGCCAAATAATCGATTACTAACAAAACCATTCACTTTGGCTCTCATCATTCCATATCTCAATGTTAAACAGACCATTAGAATAAATTACATGTTATTTTTTTTGTTTGTATGTATAAATGTACTATTAAGCTATTTTTGGTTGCCTTGTTATTCTAGGCACAAAATGATGTCAGTATATTATATATACAATAATAAAAAATTTAAAAATGCAAATTTATAGTACAATTCTGAAAATTTCCTTAAGAAATTGACAAAGTATCCATTTAGTTTTTGTAAACCAGATATACTTGCTGAAGCAGGTGCATTATCCAATTGATTAGAATTAGTCAAGAAAATATTTGTTTGAGACAAAGATTTGGTGAAAGTTTTTGAGCAGTTGATGGAGGAGTATTGGTTTTGAGAATGATTAAGAGCTTAATATAAAAAATAATTATATAAATTAGAAATAATATTATTAAAACACGAAAAAATAATTAAATATATATACTGTACCTTGTTTTGTAATAAAGATTTTTGAGTAAGATTTTTATTATGCAAATTCGTCATTTTGTTTATAAGGTTTAAAATCAAAATAATACCATTTATTGTATCTAAAAGTTTATGTCATATAATAGACATTACAAATGTATCACTGTACCCTGATTCTTTAGGAGTTAGATATTGAAACTACACATAGCAGAGGCGTAGTCTTGAATTTACTAACTACTTCACTGTATTAAGTACATATTTTATTACGATATAGGTGAAGAGTAGGGTCGCTTAAAGGTTCTCTTAATTATAATAAACCACTTTATCAACTTAACTCCTCATCTCAAGTAATACAATATATGTACAAATGAAGAGCTAAAGAGATTGCGCGTAATAGAAGAGGAGAATGCATTTAGGAAAAAATATATAAACTCATTAGATAATGTTTCCTGCATTTAAATTTTCAAGCCAAATAATCGATTACTAACAAAACCATTCACTTTGGCTCTCATCATTCCATATCTCAATGTTAAACAGACCATTAGAATAAATTACATGTTATTTTTTTTGTTTGTATGTATAAATGTACTATTAAGCTATTTTTGGTTGCCTTGTTATTCTAGGCACAAAATGATGTCAGTATATTATATATACAATAATAAAAAATTTAAAAATGCAAATTTATAGTACAATTCTGAAAATTTCCTTAAGAAATTGACAAAGTATCCATTTAGTTTTTGTAAACCAGATATACTTGCTGAAGCAGGTGCATTATCCAATTGATTAGAATTAGTCAAGAAAATATTTGTTTGAGACAAAGATTTGGTGAAAGTTTTTGAGCAGTTGATGGAGGAGTATTGGTTTTGAGAATGATTAAGAGCTTAATATAAAAAATAATTATATAAATTAGAAATAATATTATTAAAACACGAAAAAATAATTAAATATATATACTGTACCTTGTTTTGTAATAAAGATTTTTGAGTAAGATTTTTATTATGCAAATTCGTCATTTTGTTTATAAGGTTTAAAATCAAAATAATACCATTTATTGTATCTAAAAGTTTATGTCATATAATAGACATTACAAATGTATCACTGCACCCTGATTCTTTAGGAGTTAGATATTGAAACTACACATAGCAGAGGCGTAGTCTTGAATTTACTAACTACTTCACTGTATTAAGTACATATTTTATTACGATATAGGTGAAGAGTAGGGTCGCTTAAAGGTTCTCTTAATTATAATAAACCACTTTATCAACTTAACTCCTCATCTCAAGTAATACAATATATGTACAAATGAAGAGCTAAAGAGATTGCGCGTAATAGAAGAGGAGAATGCATTTAGGAAAAAATATATAAACTCATGTGTACCAATCAAACGGATTTGCAGAAACATTAACGATTCGCAATCTTTAATGATATATATATATATATTAAAACATGGTGCTCACACTGTTTGCATGAACATGAAAATTTTTGTCGTAAAAAATTACAGCAAGTATTTTTGGCTCACCTTCAAATATTCAACAACCGAGATATTCTCTAATACGCGATCAACTCAAGAGACAATGTATGAAGGTCCGCACGCTTACACGAATAAGTTACGTTATTATTTATTACTTGGCTTGAATATAAACAATGGATAAACAATACAGAGTAACAGAAACGATTCTTAAATAATTAATTAAAACAGAAACACGCCTAATAATGACTATATTAACTATTTTTACAAATATGAGTACAATAATCACGGCCATTTACACCTCGTTTACCTTCTTCACCAAAACAATCATCATTCACTGGATGCGTCCACAATATAGGAATAATTAATTCATGTCCATCCTCTGCCTAACCTTTCACACTCTTCACTATGCTAGCATTTGACTTCAAATCAGTAATTTCCACAAATTCAGTCCGCTTTTCAAAAATTTCCAATGAATTTCTGCTATGATGCAAGGTGCAAGTAAATTCTCAAAGTGATATTCTCCGATTAAATCACAAATTTTGACGAAAATACTTGGATTTTCAATGATTTTTTCGAGGACATTTTTAACCAAAAAGATCTGTAGAATACTCGAACACTGATAATTTGTTATCATCCTCAAGTAGCCAACTCGCGGAATAAGCTCTGTTAGTTGGGAAATCTTCTAATGTAATGAAGGCTGGTTCGTTTTCGCGAAACTGTAATTGCTCGACCATCACTTTTCCTTTGTCCACTTGCATGTGCCGATGAATCGATCAAACTCCAAGTTCAATGGGATGCTTTTTGATGAGAGAAAATTTTTTTCCCAGTAGCTCATTGAAAATAGAGTGCTGGTTTAGAAAGTTAGAAGCGATATTAGGCTCGGAAAGGGAGTTGTAATTTGGTAGAATTAAATTTTGTGAAGTCTGCGACACTGTTGGGTTGATAGTACGCATTTTGAAATAATTTGTTGTTAATATTATTATTATAAATGTTTTTCCAAGGAATTTTGTTAAGAGATGTGTTCTTTATATATCTTCAATTCATAACCAAAATTTCAGGTTTACCTCTGTTCAGGAGTATAATGACTAGTTTTAAAAAGGATACGTAATAGACAAATAAATAATAACGATTACAATGATAAAGCTTTTTTCCCATACATGCAAGGATTCATTTAACTTAATTCATGCTATTTATTATTTAGAGACCCCAGATTTATCCAGAAACAAACATTAAATTATGCAACATTTGGTAGATTATGCGCCCTTTATTATGTTTATTAAAAAATGATTTTTATAATAAAATTTTATAATCTTACATTAAAAACAAATAATTTTAAATCAGATATATACATGTTTTTTAATGGATGATGATTGTTGTTGAGAGGTTTTAATCATGAAAAATTTAAGAAATTTTTAATTGTGTAGGATTTTTTTAAAGTTCTTTAATAACAATTATCTTTTTTTTATTATTTGGAAATTTGGGATCAAATGTTCGTTCTTTAATATTAGTTAAACTGTTGTTCACTTTTACTTTTTTATTTTTTAAATTTATATTATGTGAATTCACTATAATGCAATTGGTACTTACTATTCATTGTACGATTTAGAATTCATTGAAATGCAAAGTTTGTTGCTATCCATATGAACAGATTTTTTTATGACAACATGCAAATTATGTGACGAATCGTCAACTATGCATTGCATAAAAAATCAAAATTTTGCAAAAATTATGCAAATGTATAAATCTGGTGTCTCTAATTTGATTCATGAAAATAGATGGAATTCCATCAAAGAAATCAAGGAAGTCAAAGTTACAAAATAGCAGTGACATGAAGAAATTATCCTTGTCTGAAATCTGCATAATCACAACAAAAAAAAAATCCGGTCTCAATTTTGGAAAATGTTTGTTCCACGGGAAATGTTCCTATATATCTAATATATTAATACCAAAGGTTATGATCTGAAAACATTTAAAGATGCATTGTTAAACTATTATGAGAATTTTATTTAACTTTAGCAATATTTATTGCTCTACAAGTATCTATTCCTCAAAATTGGTTTTCTGATTATCCTATTATTAACATGCTAGTTAGTGACATGGACGGACATGGACATGCTTTAAAAGCAATAAAGATTGTTATGATTACTGATTAACTAAAACAAGTGAAATTATGTCTCCCATGTTATCATCAGATCACCTTATTCCTGGTACAAAAATTCATCTAGAAGATTATACCCGTTTGGGTTTGTTAGGTTCAAAGAATTAGTTGTTGTAGACCTGCCTTTATGGATGATCTCACACACAAATGGTCCTATTTTACAAGATTGTTGACTTCAATTATATTTAAAGAAGAACAGCACAATAAAAATACTTTGATTGCAATGCTTTGTTGCTTTCACTCAAGTTCTCAAGTCTAATAAATTTGATAATAATCATGCTAAGACAATATTAGGCAAACGTAAAGAGCAGTTGTTTGAAGACTCGGATAAATCAGCATTTCGTGGAGGGATGCTTTAAGTAAGTGATATTATCTTTTTGATTAATGGTCAAATGTACATTCAAAGCTCGTTACAGTGGATCTTGTTTTGAATAAAGATTAAATTTTTATGATAATCAACATATAATATGAATGATTATCAAATTTTATTTCGTTAGATTTAGCACAACTTGTTAGATTGCATTGAATGATCCAAAATAAGGTCTCATAATCTTTTTTGCATTCATCAGATTCTATTATCCAAAAAAAGGATTGTTACCACATTTCAAAAAGCTAATTCAGTTGTAACGTTATATTTCTTAATTATTATTTAAATACTATTATTATCAGAATAATGGGTTTGTCCATATCAATTGTTTATTAACTAGAATACAAGAATATAATAATTATCATTATGGTAATAAATTTGTACAACTAATATTTATAATGATAAATAATTCTTAGTAAATGTATAATTTAAAAATCCTAGGCCTTTATATCTTCTCAATAAATAAACTGATTCATGATTTTCAGGTAAAACTATTTTTAAAGGCTTAGGTCCTTTCCAATTTTTCATTAATATTTCCAGTGAATATTCATCAGAAATAGTAACTTTTTCTTCAAAAGTTATTATTTTTAAATTTTTTGGCAAAGTTTGGTTTAAAATTGTTAATATTTTGTCACCATCATATGTGTAATTGCCACTATTTCCAAATGTGATTGATTCTAACTTGACGCAATTATTAAAAATCTTATTTAACTGCTGGTCTAGTTCATTTTTATAAAATATTAAAAAATTTTCCAAGTTGTAACAGTTTTGAGCAATTGATTCAATCAGTTCACCCAAGTATTTCATGTCATTCGGCCTACCTCCGATAAAAAGAAATTTAAGAGTTTTTCCATTAATTTTAATGAAATTAGACAAGTCTAGTAGAAACGACTGATAATTAATATCCAAGTGTACAGATTCAATGTTTGGAAAAAAACTAGGCTTTAACAATTTAAAATTATTATTATTTTTTAAAAGTAATAATGTTAAAGATCTTAAATTATGAAATGTTGGCATTAGTAAAGAGCTTAAATTATTGTTCTCTAAACATATATAATCTATTATTGATTTTGAATGAAGTGAAATTGCTTTTTTGAGATCATCTGATAAAATTATATCATCTTTTGAAGAAAAATACAAATGTGTAATTTTCCTTTGTGCTTTAATTAATTGAGTTATGCTATAATCAATTTTATTGCTATAATTGATATTTGACGAAGGATTATATCGATTAATTTCTAAAACTTGAATATTTTGACAAGCACTTGCTAGTTTATCAAAAAATAATTCTGCGCCATTTACAAAATTGCATTTTATTTCATAAAGATTCTGAAAACACGTATCAAATCTATGATGATTAATTAACTCGTTACATTCCAAATCAATTTTGTCAAGCTTTCTTATAGTCGAATAATCCAAAATAAAGTCAAGTAATCTTTTTTCCCATTCGTATTTATTATCAGATTCTATTAGTGCAAACACTTTTTTTTTACACTTGAAAAAATCTAATTCAGTTGTAAATTTAGCATAATTATACAATGGTGGTTTTTCCAACCGTTCGAATTTTAATTTAGTATGTTCTGCCAAGAATTCATTGTCTTCTTTCAATAAACAATGAATTAATATTTCAGTGCTTTTTATAGAATAGAACGGGTCTCTCCATAAAATTAGAATGTTAATGTTGTGCCATCGTTTATTAACTAGAATGCAAGAATATAACGTTTTATAATCATCACTATTGACGTATTTAAATATTCCAGCTAAAAGTTCAGCTGGTAAGTTTAACATTTTATTAAAAAAAAAAAATTAAATCTGTGCAACTAATTACATTAATGTATTACAAAAATATTCTTTCAGTTAAATCAAAAATAGTGTAAATACACAATATAATTCAATTGTTCTCTAGATTTATTTTTTTTTCTATGTTAAAAATTCATGTTAATCATTGCCTTTTGATCCTTGGAAAGGAAGCTCTTTTCGATCATTTTTCTAGAAGTCCATATTTATATAGTATGAAATTGTAGATCGTTATTACTGGAAAGTTTTGTTCATGGACTTTTGTTAAATTGAATTTTTTTGAAGTATATATGAGAACAAAATAAAATTTCACAGCACAAAAAGAATAATATTAATATTTTGTAATAGAAACTTCAACCAAAAAACTAATTCTTGCATTGTTCTTCACTATCATCAATAATTATTAATGTTATAAAACTACTACGTTAAATTTGTTGCCATTAAGTCAAAAGTGACGCAAGTAAAATTGCTTTAAAGACTAATAAAATATAAAAAGCTCTCAAAAAAATTTATAAATATATATTTTCAAGATCCTTTTTTTTATATATATTTCATATGTATTTCAATATCTCCATTGTTTCTCCTACACACATTTATAACGTGATACATAATCGGGTTAGATAAAAATCATCATCGACTAGGGATTCGGTACTTTATATTCCAGGGTCGACTAATTTTAATTTAATTTATAATTATCATCAAACTACTGTGTAAATAATTATAATGTCAATATTAATATTGATTGATTAAAATTATTTTCCTTATTGTAAACTTCATTAAGGATAACTTCTGGTCCTTGCAGAGGAAAATAATAGATAATTAACATTCTAATAAAATAAAACTCTGTGATAGAATCATTATTTTTATTAAATAAAATTTAATCTTAAAAATTAAAACATTGTCTTAATTTTCTTTGTTTAAAGCGCTTTGATAAAAACAACAAGTGTAAATAGTGCCTTGGTAAAAGATAAAAATTGTGGGACATTGGTAAAAGGCCACGTTTACTTGTTTTAGTAAGCAAGTAAGCAAGGTTAGGGCTAACGTTGGTTAAATAGCGGGTGTTAATGAAGTATCTTCCGTCTAAGGGTTAATCGGAAATACTGGTAATATTATTATTGCAATCGTAACGTAAGGTTGTTAAACAAGCTACTTGAGTTGTTTTGCAAGTAAACCAAAGCGAGTTTGCAATCGGCCAATAAATGTAAACAACTGAAACAAAGTGAATAAAAGGAACTTTATAGCACTGCAAAAGGGCCATATTTATTTAATTACAGTTATTTGGTACCATCAAGTGTGCTCACAGATTCATTTAGGTGCAGTAATTGAGAACCAAAGCAAATTCGTAAACTATTTAGTTGGCAAGCACCGAATTATAGCCCAAAAGTTAAGCCATAATTGTTAATTAATCAAACTGATACCTCGCAATATCACCATTTAACAAGAACCAGAAAATTGTAGAGTTTATTATAAGAAATATTATTATAAGAAACAAAATAAGAATAAAATAAAAAGATAATAAAAAGATAATAAATTTATAGTAGAGATTAAATTAGTCATTCATCGCATCTTTTCTTTACTATTGTTACTATGTTTGTTTAATAATTAATTAATTAATATCATTAGTAATAATTAATGGATAGTAATCTCAATTGATTAATAATGAAATTTTTATTTACCTTTTTAACATTCTAGAGAAAAAAGTTACAATCAAGATCATTTAACGAACTATCATTACTTGTATAAATTTTA